GTCATTATTATGAGGTAAACTACTAGTAGTTTGAATCGATCATCTTTGTTAGCTTTCTCTCTTTTTTCAGTGTAAAAGCAGAGCTTGGAGTACACACAGTGTGTGCAGCAAAGCCCCATAATTAAACAAAATGGTAGTAATAACCCACCAAGCCGAAAAAATTTGGACTTATGACTGTACGGGTGTCCGTACAAGGTGCTACTTTTAGCATGTGCTGTCAAATGTACCGCGGGTATGCAAATGCCACAGCTTTGTCCAGTAGTCCAGTGGTCAGTGCACTGGGCTCTGGGTCGCGTGACCCAGGTTCAAGTCCTGGCAGGGGCAAGGTGTTTTTTTTTGTTTAATTTTTTTTTAATAAATTTATTTAAAGCATTTTCTTACGTTTACATTCAAAGTAGAAATTAAGAGGAAAAATAGAAAATAATAAAAAAGAAAAAAAGACGCACACACACACACACACACACACACCCTAATATAGTACAAATAGAATTATACTAAGCTAAAACACACATAAAGCTATTACAGCAATACAGTTACCCAGTATATAAGGCAAGGCATTGTGCCCTTGAGATGTGAGGGGGGGAAAAAAAATGCAAGCTCTGCTTTTAGGCTTGGCTAAATCTGTATATTGTTTGCTACAGACACAAGATTTTGCTGGCATTTGTTGGCCACTTAGCTTGTTTAGACTTAACCTGTTTGCTGTTTTTTTTCAGAATTGTTACTTTGTTTCCCCTCCCCCCCCCTCCCCTCTCATCTCAACTGCAAAGGAGCAAAGGGTGAGAACATGTTTCAAATGATATGAAAATGTTTTTCCTTATAAATTTTTTACTCCTTCTGATACAGAGATCGTGTCAGCCGACCTACATCAGTATTTGACAGAAATGGATATGATCCATTTGCCAGAGCTCGTCGCAGTTCACTGAGTAAGAAGTCAAAAATGAAACACATGAAGCAGCAAGTTGCACCCAGTATAGTGAAACAAGCAGACTATTCCCAGGTACATAATGTGGTGACTGTAAGAAGCTAGCTAGAATTGCCTCTAATTCCCTTGCTGGGGCTCTTGCCCATTGCATGTTACCCTTCAAGATTTTGTAAGTTTTCAGTGATGATTTTTGCCAGTGCCCTATTATACCCTTGGGTGGGGAAGGACAATGTGACTATAAAGTTGCCTGACTTAAGAACACAATAAAGTGGTTTTGACAAGGTATGAACCAAAGTTTTTGCAGCCATTCCTTGTTCCCTCGATATTATTGGTGCAACCCAAGATCAATTTATCCAGATTGCTTTATTAAATAGTTTGTTGCTACTTTCATCATAATTAATGCAAACCTAAGTACCATTTGTAAGTGAGTATTACAGTTGTTAAGTATCTCTCTAAAGGGTACTGGAGTTCCAGAATGGTTAATCCATGAAGACTGGGCTTTATTACAGGTATTTGCCGTAACTTCCTTGAAATGTTATTCTGATGTGTAACATTAACTATCCACCATTGCCATTTTTAGCAGCTTCAGACTGAAGTCACTCAAATTGCCAACCTTTTCTCTCCAATTCATTTCAAAGGCTGTTAATTCATTACAAGAATTACCAGTGGATCTTGCCGTAAATGTTCCAAGTCAAACACCCAACTGGGACATTGTCTGCGACATTGTCAATCTCACAAGTCGAACATTCCGCTCAGCTCGACAGGTAAGCCCTTGTGACTTTGTTGGATTGTGAGAATCAAATTTCACTTTATAATTGGGCAGGAAAATTAGCAGATTATGCCAAAAAGAATAATTATCATACTGATTGTAAGTAGTAGCTCTGTGCATCATGAGCGAGAGGAAATCCATACAGGTCATATGTCTTTTGATTAATTCCATATTAGATTTTTCCTTTATATGTAGTTTCATTTGTACAACAGCAGCCATTGTGCTGAACTTTTAAATTCATTTTTTTCAGTGCCGTGATCGCTACATGAACATGATAATTCCCAGAGAGGAGGGGAAAGTTCCCTTGGTAAGAGCCAGTCTCCCTTTTTCTCCTTTTTTCTCCTTATTATTCATTTCAGCAGACCAAAGTTGGATTTAACTGAAACTAAGGACCCTGGTAAAAACAAAAGAGAAGTAGGTTAATTCTGGTCAACTTAATTCAGGGTAACAACTTGTAATGTGCAATTGAAAGTTTTTGTATTGATAATTGCACAATATAAGTCAGTAAATTATTAAATTGTTATTATTATTATTATAATTATTATGATCATTATTATTATCATTATTAATTCTCATGTGACCTGTAGATGAAAACTAAGCAAAGAAATAATTTGGATATATCAACAAAGTTGAAGTGGTAAATTGGCCACCGTAACCATTAGAAAAGCTGACGTTTCGAGCGTTGGCCCTTAAGCCCTTAGCCCTTAAGCAAAGAAATGATCCTTGTAAAAGGAATGCAATTTAAGAAATTGCTGAAGAGGAGCCTGATAAAATTAGGTTTAGATGGAACTTGAACCCATGCCTCCGAGATACTAGTTGGGCCCTGCTATCAACTGAGCCACCAAACCAGATGTTGGGAGTGAGATAAAGTTTTAAGAGTTCTTCATTCCTGCTGAGCAATTTGTTCACAACTAATTATTAAATAATTTCCATTTGACCCATGGATGAAATAAAAAAATGGGGTCCTGGAAGGTGGACTGTGATTTTAGCTATTGCAAAAAAGAAGCTGGAAATTTACAAGGATCATTTATTTTCTAGCTTGGTTAACGAAATGTCTAATAATGTACTTTTTGTCATTGTTTGTTACCGGACGATTAGCCTGTAGTAGAGGAGAGCTTGAAGAAGCTGAAGACAAGGTTGAAGTCATTTTCTCAGCCTTACATTACCCAACCTCACAGTCTACCAGTCAAGGTGAACAAACACAGTCATTTATGTGAAGTTATTACATACACAGCAAAATCAGTGGTAATCCTAGCCATATGATTGGCTCTCAACAGTTCAGTTTATTTCATATGGCCCTAAATCTTGTATTTTTCTGGCCAATGAAATGGAACACTCAAACAAAACAATCAGTCAGATTTCAGATTTTGTAGAATGCCTTTTTTTCTCAACTCAGAGTTTTTTCCTTTTTTTTTTTTTTTTTCTTATCTGGTCTTTTTTTTGCTTTTGGATCAATACAACGGTGGTACTCATCGAAATCCTAAATTCAGGCTATGATATTGTTCAATTTCAAAATGTGCATCAATTTATTACAAACTGGACGTTGAACTTGTTCTGCAATTTTGTTCTGAAATCATTTGCAAGGCCTCAAATCAATCTTGCTGTGTGTGCACAGGATTTCAATCCAAATTACACCAAATTACAAAATTAATACACTTCCCTATAATACTGATCTACTTGAGTCAATTAGTACACATGACCTTCACAGTACCAACAAGAAGTCAATTTTTTATGGCACTATTAATTCTCATTTCATTCATCAGATTAAAGGCACAAATGGAAGATCATTCAAGACACATCATATACTGGCTCAAGATGGTGGCCGCTCACCAACTGTTGTACGATCATCTGTGTTTGAACTTGTGAAACGCACTTCACAAAAGAGAAAACCACCTCTCAGGCAAATGTGAGAATCTCATTCTCTTACTTGATTTTTCATTACATTTCATCGCCATTTTTTTTATGAGATCAACCCTGTTGACTGTATATATATATATATTTTTTTTTCAAAAAATCAAGTGTGTGAATTTAGGAATCTAATACTAGCAGTCAATAATTTTTGCATGTTATAAGCTGTGATCTACAATAGGAAAGCACCTTACTCAATGAACAGTTTCCTTTGATCAGTCAAATCAGACCTTCATTTAAATTCATGTAACAATTTTATGATACCAAACAGCTTATTAAAAAGCTTCTACATAGCATTTACTATTCAGCTGATCTTGAGACAGAATGATAAAAACATAGGTAAGTAATTTATAATTCTGTTGCTGAAAAAAAGATAGACTGAGATAAAAGAAAAAGTGAAGGTAAAAGGAACAGTAGTGAGTTTGGGAGACAAAGCTACAAGGCACCTTAAGCTCTTTGTTGTAGAATGCTGTTACTCTGTCAGATGGTATGATCTCTGAACAAACAGTCTGGGCTCATTTCACTGTCATGCTATCTTTTCTTATTTATGTTGTAATTTGTTTAGTCAGAATTTACAGCAGTTTTATGACACGATTTTTTTTTTCCATCAAGTGTCCCTTTTTGTTAAATTGTCATATTTTTTACTCTTAGGTTGGTGGATCCGCAACTAAAGAATTTCACACATTCTGCTATATTAAGGGCCAGGTAAAAAGCAACTTTACCACTTAATGAGTGACTCTGACAGTTTTAATCTGGTAACACTTTATGCTCTAATATCAGTGTGCCTATTCTCCTTACTGTTTTCCACATGGTTTCTAAGGTGCTGACAAGGAGAATTTGTTTAACAATCAAGAGCTTCTTTGAGTATCAAGCCTTTCCTTTATTCTTGCTACCTGTGTGATTGGGGGGGGGGGGGTGAAATTGTAAAGAGAAATTAAATGTTAGTCACTCTTCAAGGCTTTGGTCTAGCAGTGCCCGGTGGCCCCTGGTGCCTTAGGAATTTTAGTTTTTTCATACAAAGCATATGCTGGGCACCCTGGATTTCACAGTTTCAAAGCACTGGGCTCCATTCAGTTTTCCTTAGAGCACAGCCTTGCTCTTTGAGATCAAAGGGTTAAAGAGTTCTTGATTAATTTGTCAAAGCACTGTACAAAAGTTGACCAGCTCTGTTTGATGAAATTAAGCCCCGTTCCTGTAGGAATCCTGTATGAGCAATAAAAATCCAAGTCAGTTACAAAATATTTCATTGTTGATGACTCTTATTTTCTGCTCTCCAAGTGGTATATCAGAGGAGAAGACTTTGAACCCAGTTCAGTTGGCTACCCTGAAAGCAGAACGAATTGCCAGAGAAAAAGCAGCAGCTGCTCAAAATGCTGTAAGTAACTTGTGGTGCTTTTTCCTGCAGTGTTTTAAAGCTATAGTAGTTTGTTTCATCTTGTTTGTTTACAGTATTTCTTATACATAAACGTGCCCAATTGTCAATTGTCTTGCACTATTCCATGTGAGAATACATCACAATAAAGTATTTTTCCCTCATGTTCCTGAGTAATCTTAAACTTCAAATAAGAGAGTGAAAATCATGGTCTGAAAACTTCTCTGACTTGGAAGATAAAAGGCAGTGATTGCAGTTATTTTTTTTTTGAAAGGGAGAAGAAAAACTTTAGAATTTGTAATATTCTATAGTGCAATAACCTTTTTATTGTCTAGTCTGTTGATCAAGTGTTAGTCACTTGTCCCTTGTCCCTTGAAAAGCCATTTACAGGGACTGGAGGAAGAGGGTGTGGGTGTGCATTGTTGATTTGAAAAGCAAAGGAAACATTTCTCTCAGAAGAGAAAAGCATATATCAGATCACTGAATCAAGGCCTGGATTTGATACAGTTGGTTTTTGATCAGACCTGTGTTTTTCATTTTTGCTTCAATAGCTACAGCAGCAACAACAACAACAACAACAACAGCAGCAACAACAACAGCAGCAGCAACAACAACAACAACAACAACAACAACAACAACAACAACAAAATCAACCAGTCACGACACCTGCACAATTACAACAACCACAGAGCTCCCAGCTTCCACAACAGACTGCAACCAAACAGTTGCCAGCCAGTGTGCAGTCACTGCCAGCGCAAAAATTGACCACTACCACTCAACTGAACTCCACATCTGTAGCAGTAAGTTACATTTCATTCCTCTAACACATCTTCGTAGACATTTAAATTGCTAGATCTGGGATAAATCATGTACATGTAGGGTCGTTTATTTAAACAAGGTCTAACCCAAACTGCGGTTTTTTGCAATCAGATCGCCTTATGTATTTTCTATAAGAGGGCACCCGGGCTGTTGTCATTAAATAGATTTTCGTACACTGCTTACTTTCAGCCCCCTTGACATTGTTCACAAAAAAAATAGACATTCAGGGTAAAGATTTAGCCAAATTCAATATAGTTTAGGCTGTTCTGTTAAACAACAGCTAAATTTTATTGAATTAATGGGCCTGTAGTTTCTAAACCCGTGTTTTATAGGAGGCAATTTATTCAGTGGATGGTGCCATCCACTTTCAACAGGGACTCTTATGAAACTGATGGCATGTATCTTGAGGAATATTATATGAATTACACTATATATTTCAGGCAGCAGCAGCACTTCAGAAAAGTGCAACTCTTCAGGGAGCTACAGGAACCACACCTGCAACAACTTTACTCAAGACATCAGGTCGGTACAGTTTGGAATTTTGTTAGCTCTGTAAGTCATTATCAAAAGATTGTGGGCTGTTTAGCTGACTAGAAGAGCTTGTCAGGTTCGTGGCTTCAACTCGTAAGATATGATCATTGTTAATTATCCCCTCTACCTGCTGCATGTTTCCTTGTTAGGCGAATTTGGTGTTTGATCAAGTTAACAACTTCTACAGTACCTGATAAGTTTGAGTATTCTCCTTACCTGTTTATTGGATAATGTAATGATATTATGGGGAGAAGTTACTGGTTAATTACTTCTGGGAGTTTAGTTTAACAAAATAACCAGTCATTAAACTAACTGACTGGCTCATGTACAAGGACTACTTCTTACTGATTGTTGTTCATTTGACAGCTCCTGGTATTGTGCTCACAGGTCAGACGGTTCCAACTGGGACTGCATCCAGCATTGTGGTTAATACACATAAGGGTAATGCAGCAGGTCTGAGCTCCATTGCATCTTCTTCATTTGCTACCATCAACAAAAGGATGCAAGGAAAACTGCCAACCCCTCTTGTTCAAGTGCAAACTGTGAGTTTTGGATGACATTATCACTGACAGTTCTCATTTTTAAATAGTATAAAATATATCAAATAGACCCCATGTTATTGTGGGTCTGTTCAATCATAGAGGACATAAGACGGCAAAATGTGGTAAGAACATTAAAGACACACTTAGGTGGGTGTCATGTGCCACGTTTTTGTTCTTATCACATTTTGACATTATATGTGATCTAAAATTTACAGACAGTCAGCAATAGAGAATCTGTTTGTTAGGCCCAGGCTGCAATAGATCTTTAGTGAAAAATTTTGTCAACAAGAGTGAGTGCAACCCCCAATTTGAAAGTCATACCAAATATTTGCAAATTGCCAAATTTTTGTCAATCCTCAAAGAGCCTGATGTCCTGCCTCAGAGCATCCAAATAATATTTTGGCAAAACAAACAATCAGGTTTTCTTTTAACCATTAAGCTGTCATGATATGTAAGATATGCCTGGATAAAGTTTCACTGGGAACAAAAAATGTTTTAGTCTGCTCATCTAGTTTGGTGTGCAACAGCAGCACATTTGTCATCCATCTGACCCTTTTTCGTTTGAGGGAAATGACTGAGCACTGCTTTAATTCAAATCTTTGTGACTCATACCCTGGTTTCAGTTATACTGGCAACAGTTTAGAGAACATATGGCTTGAACGAGAAATTCTCCTTCTGTTGGAAGCGTGCAACCAAAACGCATAAGAGGAGTTGGAAAAAAGATCCATTGATCCATAGCAATTCGTGCACTATTTTTTCTATTTAGTTTTTAGAGTGGGATGGGTTTGTGAATGACATATGAATCAATCAGTGAAGTTTTGATCAAAGGATTTTAGTTTGATGCCACCATTGTCAAAATTTTAGTGTGAACATTTTTCAAATTTTTGGGGAAATATCTGAATTAGCTCTAGTGAAACCTGGCCCTTAATTGAAATTATTTTTTGTTGTTGTTGTTTTCCAGAAGGTGTCTTCAGCTGGTGTAGCCACAACAAGATTACTGCAGACTCAGCCACGTCAAGTGAGTAGTTCTCTGGCGTCAAGCACAGCAACATCACTTACACTAGGTGCCACAACCAGCATGACATCGGCATCATCATCATCAGCTGTGGTCAGTCAGGTAGGAAACCTTGTAATCTACTCAGCATGTTCAGTGATTCCCAAATAGATTCCCATTGTGTGTGTGTCAGACGAACAAATGGGTATATATACTGTGCTAAAAAGCAACTTTCTCCCCTCTTTATCAGCTCTATTTGTCTTTTTCTTAGATTGGAAGGCAGACTACTCCATCAGTTGTCACTGCAAGTATGTTTTTATCTTTACTGACACTTTTATAATCCATGTATAGTTGTATGTTAAGATATATTCCCTGCCTTCATTGTTTCTCCCTTTCTTTTTCCCTCACATCCTCTCATTCTTTTCTTTTTCGTTATCCCATGTTAATCTGGCGAAGACATTGTATTTTTGAGGTATTTAAAAAAAAACTAATAACTCTGTGTCAGTGTAGAGTGGTATGTCGCTTGCACCAATTAACCACAAACCAATCAGATTGCCGCATTAGGGTTTGTATCATGTACCAATCAGAGTGCTGCTTTTTTGGTGCATCACAAACTAATCAGATTGCTGCTTTAGGGTATTATTAGGTACCAACCAGATCATAGCATAGGAGTATTCTTGCACCAATCAGAATGCAGAATACTTTCTGTGATGACAGCCATGTTAAATATCCATTTCTTTGCTTCTAAAAGTTCTCCATGAATTAAATATTGTATTAAAACAGTACTTTCCCACTACAATTACATGTTTACTTTTTACTCGCGACTATGGACTAATCTTTCCTTGATGAAATGCCATTTTCCAGTAAACAACTTGAATTTTATGACATAATCCTAGCTCACTGTAAAAAATTTCACAATTTCAACCCACATATCCAAAAAAAGTAACTCCTGAATGTGTAGCTTGCCTATGTTTTCAAAATGACATAATTTACATTTTCTGATTTCAGGTCATAATCTGCCGGTATCACCACAGCAGTTTGTAAATCAACAAGGTATTACGTACACTCCACAGCAGGTTGCATTGTTTAAACAACGACAACAAAAACTACTACAACAACAGGCGCAATTGAAAAAGGTGCAACTAGATCAGATGCGACATCTTCAGATTCAACAAGTTAAACAAGGTCAGGTGACACAAGGTGCTGTTGCATCTACTGCCAGCTCAATTGCAAAACCAGGCACATTGCAGCAACCTGGTGTACAACAGAAACAGCAGCAGATTGCAAACCTGCAGCAAGCAACCCTTTTGCAGAAGAAGGCTACTGCACTCACCCCACAGCAATTTCAGCAGCTCCTGGCAACACCAAACATTGCACAGTTAAGTCCTCAGCAACAGCTGCAACTACAACAACAACTTAAACAACGCCAGATGATGCAAAAGATGGCAATAAGGCAACAGCAACAGCAACAACCGCAAAAGGCAGTGGGAGGGGTGGCCAGTCTTCAAGGTGCACAGGGTGGCCAGATGGCTACTGCCTCTGCTACAGTGACAACACCAATGACATCTCAGGCTCAGCTTCTTGTGGCACAACAGCAGGCGGCAGGTACTGCTCAGAAGAAGTCGGTGACTCCTCAGTCCTTGGTCAAGCTGGGCACTCCACAGATTCGGCAACAACCACAGCAGTCTCAGCAACCCCAGCAGATGACTACTGTCACACTGCAGCGGAACACAGCAGCAGCAGTGCAACTGCTTCAGAAACACCAGCAGCAACAACAACAACAACAACAACAACAACAGCAGCAGCAGCAAGTTCAACAACAACAACAAGTTCAACAACAACAACAACAACAGCAGCAGCAGCAAGATCAGCAACAGCAACAACAGCAACATACATATGCTATGAGGCAGCGTAAACATTAAAGAAGCTTCAGTCATTCCATTCAAACTTGACACTTGTTTAAAGGAGTTTTGTAAAATTAGATAGCAACTGTACATTTTCATCTCTTTTTTTTTTTTTGGTACTGAGGGTGAAGAAGTATTTCACCAAAGTGTCAGCCATATTTTCATGTTATGCATTCTTTAAGTGTAGATAAAGTCAAGACAGTTGGTTGTCATTGTCATGAAGGGGTTACCTTGCTTTCATAGTTTTAATTCTGATGCATTTTTTTTCCTTTTGTCATGATGCTGAAACTTAAGTTGAAAACCGCTGTTCAGTTTGTTTTCCACCCATGGGGGATTGTTATTTTTTTGTTTCTTTTTTTCCTCCAAGACATGGTGGTTCTAGTGTTTAAAGTATTCATTTGGGTTCCAATTTATAGTTACCGTAAGTTGTATTTAAAAGTTTAATATTGGAAATTTTTTGTTCATTAAGGTACATAATTTCCTGTGAGTATGGAAGCAAGCCCTCTCTTATGACATGATTTGTTTGTAACTGCCTTTTTGGTTTTATTTTTTCATATTAGTGAAGAAACTGAACTGCTTGGATGATGAGCAAGTACTGTGTGATTTGGCCAGTATAAATAAACCACTTCACAATTTGCTTACCGCACCATTAACCTTAAAGTCCACCCCCTCTATGCACATTTAAAAAGGAAACCCTGCTTTTATTGGAATATGATTGCATTATTTGTAATTGGCCATTTATTGTTTAGTTTAATTTACCTAGTCCAAGATGGTGTGATTTTGCAATCGACAACAAAGATACAGTTTATCTAACATAGTGATAATTGTTTGAACATGTGAAATAGTTTCACCAACTATGAAATGCTTCTATACATCCAATGAGCCCCCTTCTACTCCTTGGGCAAGAATTCAGTTTTGATGTTCATTTAGGACTTTGTGGTGTTTGAAATTAAACCAGTGATTAAAAGGCATTTCTTAGACTCCAATTTTTTTTTTAGAAGAAACTTTAGGTGGCATACTTGTACCTCTAGATGACATTTCCTTGAACCGTTTTGAATTCACATCAAACTGACTCCATGAAAAGTAAAGGATGAGCTGGAAATGGGGGGGGGGGATGAGTAAAGGTAGATAAGGGATGGGAGGGCTTGATTGTAAGGGCAAACCATACTGTGACCAAATTACAGTCTGCTTTAGAGGGCGGATGCTTCATAGCCATTCCTCAGGGTCACAAGAAATGTTCATACACAGGGGACATTACAAAGAGCAGCTGCAAAGGACTCTGGTCGAACTGGTTTTGTTAAGGCTAACGGGTCAGTAATAACCATATTCAATAGCAATAACATTTTAATAAAAATTATTTGAAATGGAAAAATACAGTTCTCATGCTTACAAACTTAACAACCAAGCTGCTTCAGAACACCACTGGTACAATTTTAAACTCTAGTAGCTTAGAAACTTCATTGTTGAGCCATTCTTTCAAGTTTAAGTCTAATTCTCAGTGTCCAACTTTGTCCTCCAGAGCTTTGATTCGCTTTTCTTGTTCCTCCACCTTGAGTTTAAGCTGCTTCACTGTCTCGATCAATTCCTGGAAATCAATGTGTTTTCAATAACTTATTACAGGATGAAAGAGTAGCTAAAGAAGTAAATGGAGTGATGTCATGAGCACAGGTCAACTCTCTCTATGGAGAAACAGTGATAACTAGATTATTAATAGAGACATGCCCTGGTGCTCACTAAGTTAGAAGTCTTTCACATGGTTTCCACACATTTCACGTGAAAATTTCATATAGCTGTGAAATTTTCCAAGTGAAAAGCAACCAAATGCTACCTCTTCTGTACCCAGTATTTTCACATGCTTTTTGACCGCATGTGGATCGTGAAACCTGGATGCAAAAAACTCAAACTCAAACTAATTGTAAAGACAAAATAATGTAACTGACCAACTATTTTAGCTTAGTGGTTGACCCAATTCATGCCATCAACCAGCATTTAATACTTAAAACAAGACAAGTTTGTAAAATAGCAACTCTTTACTTACCGCTTCTTCATCATCAGCTTTTGCCTCTTTTTTCTTTGGCGCCATCTTACCAAGCCCACCTAGCCCCTTTTTGGGTTTCTTGGCAGCCTTTGCAGCTCCATCTCCTCCTGGCCTCAAGGAAATCTTTTTCGGTTCTGCATCTTTTCCGTCTAACCAATCGGAAGCAGAAAGAGATGGTTCATCGCCTTGTGTGTCTGGAAACAGGTCCTCTTGAAAAAGTTCTGACTGGTAAAAGTTATTAAAATTCAAAGGCAAAGTTGACTTTTGAGTGTTTGCTGATAAATTTGTAAATTTGCATTTGCACTCTTTCCCTATCTAGCCATGACCTCTAGAAGTTTCTTTGGTATTTCTCAGGACTAATGATTGCGAAACGTGTCTTGAAATAATTTTAAAATAACCCTTTAATCAAAGTATTTCCAACTTTTCTGGTCTGACATTATTTTTGGTCATTTTCCATCACTTTCTAGCCCTTGAAAATTGTACTGCTGAATTTCATGACTTTCCAAGTTTTTTTTTTTTTTTTTTTTAAAACAAATCCTGAAATAAAAAGATTTAGAATCTTAATCAACATCTCTCAAGGGAATACTAAATACCTTCCTTGGAACTGTAAAACTGACTGGTTCACAGTATCCTTTGGCAACAAGCTTAAAGCACTTTGCAACTTCATTGAGAGAGACATCACAACCACGTTTTGGCATGAAACAGACACCTCGCTGGGGTACATTGGTGCTATAATTGGTCAACCAATGACAGTGTGGAGATTCCTTATCCAGTTCATAATACCTGATGATGCTGTCTCCCTGTTAACAAAGCAAATATGACAATATGTAATTATTTATTGCTGGTCAGTGGGAGGAAAAAACAGGAAAATTTTTGGCCCCAAGTCATGACGCATGGACCAAGCACAGCAAGGTCTGTGCACAACAACTAAGAACCAAACATTTTCCCCTCTGGCCCAGATTGATCCCACATAACATAAAGAAGGCTCTCTGTGGTTTCACCAATTGCTGTTAAATTTCTAACTCCCTTTTTCAGGTAAAAACAAGCAGAAATTACCTGGCTACTATACAACTTGCTGATAATCTCACAGAATTTGTTCCATCTGCCCTCTATACTCCACCACCAATCCCCCAAAAAATAATGATTCAAACATGATCTTACCTTGCCAGCCAAATAAATCATCTTTGTGTCAGGGTCATAGTGTATAAACAGCACGGCATTGGACTGGTCAATTTCCTCCATGGCCAGATTTTCCAGAGTATCCTGAGAGAGACAAGAACATTTTGAGGGGGTTTTGTGACAATTTTTCAAATGGCAGCAAAAAGGCTACAGCCCTGTACTTAAGCCTTCACAACCTACGAGTGACAAGAATCTTATTTCTCCCAGTAGCATCACCTCTTGAATCAACCATGAGGGTAATGAGAATAACGTAAAAACCTGTGGATAAGCTGCACC